CTGTTAGCTGGGGAAGCAGGGAGAAGGTTGGCTGAGCAGCTCCGTCCTTGGATGAGTTGGGAGCATAAAGGCTCACAGCAGCATCTCGATGGTGTTTTGGGGGTGTTGACAAAATCTGGTGGCTCAACATCCAGTTCTTAGACCAACTAAAACAGCTTCTCTTCTTCAGGAACCCGATCACCTCTTTGAAACGATCTCGCAGGCCATGTTGAATGCAGTGGACAGAGATGCCCTGTCTGGCATGGGGGTAGTAGTGCACATAATGTGAGTGCTGCTTTCTTTCCCTTCTGAACACAGGTAGAATTTCCCAGCCTGGGGGCTAAAATCAGTTGAGGGATTGGCTTCCCAGCTGTCTCCAGTCTTGTTCCTTTTCTACTCTTAGAGCAGAAAGCATTACTAAGTAGTTAGTTATTTCCCATGTATGCTTGCTGTTGCTACAACTGCAGCAGTTAACTCTAGAGTTCAACTCTCACTGCGTGTGGATTCTCTCACAGCATTCCCATCAGTGTTTGGCAGCATGATCTCTTCAGTGGAAGCAGCACTGAGCAAGAGAACGCTCTTTGCCACAGCAGGATGCAGGGTTAGCTTTCTGACTGCAGTCAGACTCTCATCAGATGCAGCTTATTTTGCTTGTGCTGCTGCTGCCTAGCACTGTTCCCAAGCATTGCTGCTGACTGAGCCTGCTCAGCTCCCCTGGGACACAGCAGCAGGAGGAGGGGGGTTGCTGAGCTCTGACAGCCACCTTTCATGATTCTGCATTGCACACTGCACCTTGTGAGGAAAACGATGATCAGTGTTTAACACTGATTTGCTAATAGTTTTCTCTGTCTCCCTCTTTAGTGAAAAAGACAAGATCACCACCCGGACTCTGAAGGCACGCATGGACTAACCCAGCACAGCTGTTCCTGTGTCTCTCAGCTCAGATTATGTGCAAATTTTTTAAAATAAAGCTCTCCATTGTGGTGAACTTTCCTTTGCTTGAGCCCTAACGGCAGGATTCAGTTCTTCTCTGTAAAGCTAGCAGGAGCAGCTCAGGTTTCACACACCAGCAGAGCTTATCTTTAAGCCACCTCTGCTCATCTTCCTCAGTCCACCTGTATGTGAGCATCAGCAGCATCTCCTCCTGCCAGCTCTGAGTGGTTCTCACGTGCAGCACATGGCAGAACCAGGCCTTGGCAGCACAGAGCTCTGCTCTAGCTGTGGTTAAAGCTCTGCTCCAGTTGTGGTTAATCCAGCACTGAAGATGACCAAACCTCCCCTGCAATACCAGCTGGGCAGCAGAACGCGCTGAAGAGGCCAGCAAGGAAGAACAACACGTACACAAAGTTCTGATTTTATTTTTCTCTGCTTGGAGACTCATCTCGTAACATGCATGCATTTCAAAACAGTAACAGTGTCTCAAACTGCTCCTAGCAAACAGACAAGCACAGAGGACTTCAAATTCCTATTTAAAAAACAGCAGTGAAAAAAAAAAACCCCGAACGCGTTATTGTTATTTTTTTGTTTGTTTTGTTTAGTCTCAATTTATTCACATTTGATTTCGGTTGCACTGATTGGCCCTGCTCACCCCCTCTCAGACCTGTGTTTCGCACTCCCTTGCCACAACTCGATCTGCTGCACTTTGCTTCGTGCAGCTGAGCGAGGAGCAGCGCAGGGTGCGAGCGATGAAAACCAAAACCGCCCTCAGCAACAGAAGTTGGTTCCCTGTGCTTTGCCATTGCTGTCCCGCAGGAAAAGAGCAAGGAGAATCAGCAGTGGCTGATGGAGATGCGGAGAGCAGCTCTGCAGGAGTAGGGCAAGGTGACAGCGAACCTGAAACGGTGCTGGGGAGGGGAGGAGATGCTGCTGTACCAGCGATCCATCTCAGATCGGTTGCACGGTGCCACAAACCGAGGCTTTGCACGCTGCTGAAGGGTTTGTGCCACCTCGGGGTGGGAGCTCTGCAGCTCGAAGGGAGGCCTCTAAAGACTGCATGGCAGTCACAGGACGGAGGCAGCTGCTCTGAGATGAAGACAATCCCTATTGAACACAGCCTGCAGCCACTAAACCACCGTCAGAGCTCACAGCTGGGGATGCAGGCTCTTCTCCCAGCTCACAAAGTACAACTCGAGTGCTTCAGTGCTCCTGCTGCTCATGGCACAGCAGCTGGAAGCCAGGATCCTCCAGCGTGGGGGGAGCACAGGAATGCAGGGAAGCAGAAGCGAAGAACCACGCCGAGTTCCACGTGAGGAACTTCACAATCGTGGCCTTTGTAAGGAACACTGGGTCCTCTGAGACGAGAAGGGAGGAGCATTCTGCTCCCTGCAGCAAGAACTGAGCTCCCACCGACGGCTCCTGCATTGCCACCAGCAGGCTGATCCCTGGGGCAGACCCACAGGTGGGTGCTCCCTGCTTCCCCCCCCTCCCAGCCCCCACTTTTGGGTGACCCATCCTATTCTTGAGCATCTTCTATTGCACCAACCGGGCAGCACAGCACTCAGCCATGCCCTGCTGCTGCGCTCTGCCTTCCCTCTCCCTTTTGCCCCAGGGCCTCTCTTTTAGGCAACCCAAAGCAGATTTCAGTGCTCACATTTCAACAGCATCAGAGCCATACTCTGAGAGCCCACCCTGCAGGCCCACCCCCAGCCCACCCTGCACTCTGTGGGGCACATCTACAGACACAGCTACCTACATCCAGCACACTACAACTAAACTCACACCAGCAACAGACAACAAACGAGCACGAGCAGCTGTAAAACCAGAATGGAACAGGCTAGGCTTTCTTAAATACTTGAGTTAAAAAAAAAAAAGTAATAAGAATAGCGACCTAAAATAAGGTTTAAAAACAAAAAGAACAAACAAAAACCCAAAGTCCCTTTTAAAAACAAAATATTTGCAGCTTCACCTTCTTGTTCTGGTAAGAAAAATACTGTCTCGAAACGAAAATTAGCATCTTGAACACAACGCTACCTCCCCCAATGTAAACAATGTACAAAACGCTCACGTTAAACGAAGTTACACACCTGGGTAACACAGCATTAAGGGAGAAAATGGCATTTCCTTACTGCAGGACACACAGCATGGCAACTCGACAAGGGGCAGAGCTGGGGAAGCGGGCTGAGCCACAGCCCTCCAGTTCAGTCCCAGCACGAGTTTTGCTGGAGAGGAGCAGCACAGCTCAGCGCCTGCAGCTCACAGGCCCCGCCCCCTCCGGCCCCCCATCCCCCCAACCCTCTCCTCTCCTTTTATATTATTATTATTATTATTTTATAAATACACGATTTAAAGATGATCGGTTTAAAAGGAGGCGGCTCGCGGCCCAGCAGAGCTCCCTGGGCCAAAGCTGCGGCTCCAATGCGGATTCTTCAAACCGTCCAGAATAAAAAGCAATGGATGTCAAATTCTTAAGGGATAGTAAACGTTAAGTGCTTATTTTCTTGCTTGCAAAGAGCTCAGCAACCAACAGAACACCCACAGCACGGCTGTGCCCCCCATCCTCCCTTTCGAAAGCGTTTTCCCAGCTGCACTCGTTCTGAGGCTGCCCCACAAATGGCCACAAAGGTCTGCGTCCCTCTGTGACCCCCGACGGTCATTTCTGACTCCGTGAGTGCCCTATTTACAGCGTGCCTCTATGGGCTGAAGCTCGAGGCCCTTGTGTCCCCCTTCCAAGCTGAGAGTGGTGGCACTCAGACTGCATCACAAGAACTGCCCGGATCCTGCATCCCATAGCAGAGCCAGGAGCCCACGGGGACACAGCTGGGATGCAATGAGCACCAGAGATCCCCCAAAAGGAGTGAGCCCTGCAGGGCGTTACAGCACGGGGCAGGCAGCCCAAAGAGCTTCATCCCAAAACAAAGGCATTTGTGAAAACAGTTCAAGGCAGATAAGCAACGCGTCGCGACGGCGAGTTTTGTTCAAGACGCCGAATCCTGCTGAGAAAGAAAACGAAGGAAGGAACCCAAAGGTCCATCAGCGTCGTGCAGTGCTGAGAATGGAGCCCACAGAAGCCTCAAAGCCTGGCTGGAGTTTAGGGGGGGAAAGGGGGGGGAGTGGGGGATGTATTCCCATCCTTCCATACTGCTCAGAGAGGAGCACACAGCCACAGCTCCGGGCACAATCACATCACCATGGCAAAAAACAAACCCACAACCCTCCATCAGGAAGCAAATCCAAGCATGCCTGCTGCAGACGGAGCGAATGAGGAAGACACAACGTTAGCTGGATGAACACTGAACTGCAGACACGAAGCTACGAACCAAAGAGACACAGCAACTCCCAACTGCGGTGCGTGGGGAAAGGTTCCAGGCAGTCAGGTGTTGTCCCACACCTACAGGGACACAGCTTTGCTTTTTTGTCCTTTCACATCATCTTCACAGCTGGCCGATGGTGCAGCACTCTGGGTCTGAGCACATCGCCATCCGATGTTGTTCAGCATCTCTTAGTGCTTCTCACATTGCTTTTTTAGGCTCCAGGAGCAAAGCCCTCTCTTAGTGATCATCTTTGGTAGATGTTCATTTCCCTCATCTTTCTTGTAAATCGAGTGCAGATACAAAAGAAAAAAACAAAAAACAACAACCAACATATTTTTGTTACTTAAATTAACCAAAAGATATAAAGTGTCCCAGTCTGAATTCACCTAAAGTTCAGCGACTCCTCCTTATCAGTGTCATATTTTCCATCCTCGAGACGGCGAGCGATTTTCCTTCCAATTCTTAGAGAGAGGGAAGTAAAAGGGCTTGGAGGTCAGTCTTGCAAAGACAATTCGATGGTAATTAATTGATTAAAAAAAAAAAAGGAGTTTGTGGCATCAGGCACTGCTTTACTCCAAAGTAAAGCTGAGCTCGAGTGACCCCCAGGCGCAGCGCCTCATGTCACATCCCTGGGAGTCCCTTGGTCAGAGAGGAGGAAACACCGTCTGGAAGAGCAGTGCTGGCAACAATGCACTTTTCTTGTTTTAAAAAGCCCTCAAATTGATGTCTGGGCACTTCTGTAACAAACCCCCCCCGCCCCCCTCCCCCCTTCTTCCCCCCTTTTCTCCCACCTGGCCGATGTGGGCTGTCGGAGGGGTGCACTGAAAATACGTTGTCTCTGAAGTCACGCAGTGCCACTCACTCACTCACTCACTCACTCACACACCCCACATGCTGCTACAGAGTCTGTTTTAGTGTCACAGGCTGCGTTCTCCTCTGGGAAGTAGCCCCTCTTCTCCTCGCGTTCCTCTGAAGGCTGAAGATGACTATGTCAGGATATTGGACATGAACTCATTGAAGCGTTTGGAGTATTGCTCCGGGTTCACGGTGGAGATCTCTGCCCCAGCCTGCAAGGCAGAGACGAGAGATGAATCACAACAGCTTCCCTGCATGCAGAGCTCACAGCCGTGCACAGCAGGAGGAGGAGGGAGGACAGCAGGGAGCACTGCTGGGAGAGACCCACAACAGAACCTGCAAGTTCTAGGAAAAGCCAACAGCTGCAGAGGGCTGGAAAGATCCCCGAGGAAAATGGTTTTAGCTCCAGCTGCATTCTCCTGCAGGCTACTGAGTCAGAGCTTTGGAGCTGCTCTCTTATGGGTCAGAGATGTGGAAAGAGAGAGGAAACTCCACGTCCCATTGAATTGGGATTTTTTGGGGCTCTTTTGGGAAGTTCAGAGAAGTTTGGGAACAGGTCTGGCAGCAGGAAGGCATCACGCCTGCCTGCACCCCGAGCATTCCTGCCCCACCAGGCTGCTGCTGCCACGCAGGGAACTCGAGTGAGTGAGGGAAGGGCTGCTCTTGGATGTGGGATCACTGGACAACGTCCAGACTGGCACAAAATGCACACAGACAGGCATGCAGGCAAAGCAGAAGCCCCGAAGCCCATCCTCCCTGCAGGAATCAGGCTGCTTACCCCATGTTTCACTGTTTTGGCAGCGTGTGCAGCTTTCTTCTTTGCATCATATGGTGTAAGGATGTCTATAATGGCCATGAAGTACACTTCCTTCTTGGGGGCACCTAGCAAGGCAAGAGAGTTGCTAGCACACCCTGAGCTGTCAGCAAAGCCCAGTTACATCCCTTCCTTGAGAAACAGCAGATCTGCTTTAATGCAAACAGCAGAGAAAGCAAGGCAGGGGGAGCTCAGGAAGGGCAGAGAGGAATAAACTGCACACCAGAGATCCACACACACACTCTGAATGCTGTGCTGCTCCTAAAACATCACTTCCAACATTCAAACTCACACCACCTGCAGACAGGGACAGCACAGGAGAGACACTTGGGACAGTTTCTTTCTCTCTATGGACAGTCCTCCACTCCCTTTAGCTCACACAGTCCACAGGATGCCTCCTCTGCCCCCCACACCTTCAAGGCAGCATCCCACAATACTCACTGTCGTGGCTTTTCATGGCGTAGACATCAACAGAGGGATCAAACTCTCCAGGCCCAAAGAAGCGAGGGTAATTGAGGAGATTGCCAGGGCTGTCTGGGGGGGTTCCATACGAGGAGATGGGGTTCCCTCCCAGGCCATCATTCTCACACTCCTCATCCTCTGCCCGATCCTCCACTTCCATCTCTTCATGCTCTGCTCGGTCAACATCGTGGATCCCAACCAGCAGGCTGTAGTCCATGATCTTCAGCTGAGCTAAGAACTGGGAGGAAGAGATGAGTGAGAGTCATGGAAACCGTGTGAGATCACAAATCCTGCCCTGCTCTCCTGGTATCCCCCTAAGGGAACACGGCATTTAAACCCATGTTAGTCCCCACAGAACCCATGTGGGAGCTGTGCCCTCAGCCAAGGGTAAAATCCTGACCACATCTGTGTGCCTTCTGGCCACTGCTGACCTCTGTGCACAGGGAGCACTCAGTTATGAGGCACAGCCAGAATAAAAGCCACCCCCCAGGGTTCTCTACCTCCACGTCCCGCTTCAGCTTCTCCAGGAAGTTCTTTTTGCTCTCTTCCCCAACATGCAGCTTCTGTCCCTCATTCAAGAAGTCGTTGTCCTTGAACGTCGGCAAATCCTTGGCCTGGAACAAAAAAATCCTCTGTCAGATTCCCAAACCTGGACCCCTCGAGGCCAGGCTGCACGCTGCTCCTTCAGCAATACACCCACTGCTCAGCGTGGGGCAGCACCGGAATCCCCTGCCTGTTCATAAGGCCTCATCCCATCCACTAATTAGGAAACGGCAGCAGGCAGAGCACAACGTTTGTCAATGAGTCTGTGTACCTCTGTGCTTCCCTTCATACCCTGAGAACAGCTCAACTTTAAGGACTGCTGGGAAGAAGGGCTGCAGGCTGAATGCTTGGCAGCTGGGCTCCGGCCCAACCAGCTCCCAGAATAGAAATGCATCCTGTTGGTTTCTGCCTGGGGTCGGGAGAATTGAAAACAAAACTCTTCTTTCCCAAAAGACTCGAGGAAAAACAAACCCAAAAAACTGCTGTTTGAAGGAATTTGTCTGCAGCGGACCCCTGAGGGATACGGGAGAATGCACAACCCTTCTGTGCAACTGGGAGTTCAGTGATTTTGCTCTTAGGATGATATATGAGCGTGGTGGCTTTATATAGATCTAATATGAATGGCCTGGGACAAACTGCATACACAGAAAAAGCTGGAGACTAAACAGGCAGCGAGCCAGGGACGTTTGGGCACCACGAAGCTGTGCCTCAATGCCAGAGCTTTTGGTGCAAACGGAACTTCCTTTGCTCGTGCCAGGGATTAATTTCAGGGTGAGCTGCTGTGGAACTTCACTCTGTAGCCTCAAACCTGCAAAGCTCACGTGCAAAAAGGTGCGAATTGAACAGGACTTTTCACGACAACCTCAGAGCTGAGGTTTTGCAGGGGCAGAACTCCCAGTTTTAAGCTCCCCTCGTGGCAACAGAACCCAAATTTACAAACACGCTGAGACGTGCCAAGAATCCGAGAGGAGTTGGTCTGGTTTATAGAAGCAGCTGTTGCAAAAGCAAACTGCTGACCTGACTCAGTTTGACACGCTGGGGGTGTATTGCACAAATGTGGGCTTTGCTACGTGTGGATTTGTGTCCCAAGAGGTTTCCCCCCCCTCTCCCGGCAGTGTCAATGTCTCAGAGCACCACCTCTTACTGTACATTACTGGGAGCAGCCTGGCGGGTGGGACAGGAGCAGTGTACCATGCAGGGCCTGCTTTGTTTCCCCTGCTCTGAACCCCTCTGGAAGAGGGAGGTCAGCTGGATCCCATCTGCTCCCCAAAGGCAGGAGGAAGGGGTGGTCCGTACCTTCTCCTTATCGCTTGCTTCCCTGGACACTGTTGAGCCCTAGCAAAAAGAAGGAAGAGAACATTGCTGCATTCCCAAGGAACTGATGGAAACCACGTAATTCATGCCTCAGACAGTCACAGACCCCCCTGCTGCAGTGCAGACCACTTGGGATAGAGGAACAGAATCACATTTGAATCTTAAGTCCCACACAAAGCCCCCAAAACCCGACTCCCTGAACAAAGGAGCAAAGCCCAGGACCCTCTCACACAGGGGTTACAGAGACCAGCCCTCACCCTGCAGGGCACTCTGCTCCCAGCCTCACCTTCAGGTCGTATTTTCGGTGCACTGTCAGCCTGTGGCTGAACACATTTCTGGTAACCACCATGTAGGTTTCCACTCCATCCACGGTGAGCCGGTACATGCCGAGGAACTGGGGCAGAAGGGTGTTCCCATGGCACTCCACTATGAACTGCAGGGAAGCAGGAAGGGAAGGGCAGAGAAAGACAGCACTGTCACACAACACCCACCGCTGGTGGAACACAAGCTCAGCAAGAAGCTGACAGGGAAGCTTCCAGTTCCAGCCATCTGACACTGATGAGAAAGGAAAGGAGGCTTGCAAATGGCTCTCTGCAGCTGCAGAACAGCAAGCTGGGGCACTGTAAGATGTTTACAGCCCTCAGCTGAGACAGAGCATCTCGTTGTGTGCAGGCCCAGCCTGCTGTGATAGGCCAAGCGTGCCCTCCCACCACCTGGTCACAGAAGTGTGAGCCTGCTGCTGGCAGCATCTAACATCCCCTCTTTGGTTACATGGAAATAAAGTGCAGATGGACTGGAAGATACCACAGACAACAGCAGAGCACTTCCAGCTGTGTCACCTGCCTCCTCTTCCTTGCTGCAAGCAGCTCTGTCCTTCCCCTGGTCCCTTCACAAAGTCTAATCCAAAGCACTGAATTAGCATCGCGTTTGCAGGTCTCAGATAACAGCAATCCATAATTCATTGCTGTAAGGGTGAGCAGTAAAGGACTCAGCACTGTGAAGGAGCCCTCATAGGCTCTCAGGTGCTACAGAACACTGCTTTCTATCTGCAAGCTCTGCCACAGCTCCCCAGCACATCACAGGGTGCTCCAAAGCTCCCTGCAGGGCTGCAGACTCACCGTACCTGGTGGTACTTCTTTAAGATGTTGTGCATCTCTGCCACATCCTCACTCGACACGGCCTTAATGACAAACCTCCTGTCATAGGTGGTGAGGAACCGGGCCCCACATCGGCCCTGGCTGTCGCTGTTCACTGGGGCACTTCGTGTCACCGAGTTCTGAGGGAAACAGAATAAAACCGTGGGGAGGAGAGGCAGGAGCTGCCAGCTCATTGAGAAGGAAGCAGAGCGGTGTCAGAAAGCAGGTGGGTGCTCAGGAGCACCTCCACAGCTCGGCTCTGTCAGAAGAGCCCAAAGATAAGACCAAGGGTTAAATAAAACCAGAACAAAATGGGTGAAAACAGTCATGCACGTAAACCCGCAACGTTTCCTGTGTTTAGGAATTCTTTACAGGACATCCCAAAAACAAAATCCACCTTCAGCCCAATCAGATGAGTGACCACGAACTGCTCGGCAGCAACCGCCTTTACATCCCCATCTCCACCCTTAGCAACAAAACACTGCAGCTTCTCATCCCAACCACAGCACCACTGCAAAATCCCAAGCTCCCAACTCCAGCACCTCCATCACCTGCACCCATCCAGAAGCCATTCTGTCACCCATCAGCACAGGCTCTAACCACGTCCTGCTTGCAAGCAGACGGGGGGAGCTGAGCTCTGAAACACAACAGCACCAACATCTAACAGCGGCCTTCAGCTCGGGGTTGATGCCCTTTTCAGGGTGCCAGGGCTGGGCAGTGCATCCTGTGATGTGTTTTATAGCTGGCTGTGGCTCTGTTCCTCCCACCCTTGGGTTCTCTGTGCAGTGGACACCAGAGGGAGCCTGCTCTGCTGCAGACACACGCAGGCGAGCACAGCCTGCTGCAAAGAGAGATTTACCACACAGTGCTGCGAGCAAACAGAGAGCTTTCCTTTCAGAAGGAAGCATTTAAAGCCTTTAAAACTTTAATGAAGCAGGGGAACAACTCTGCTCCTGCCAACGGCTTTAGAAACCATCAGGAAAATAAAAGCAAACAAAAGAAACCTCACTGCTCGCTGACATTTGCAAACGAGCCTGCGCTGCACGGTTTAATCACCCCTCACCTCAAAACCACAGAGCATTTCTTGGAGCGGAGATGGGAAGCAGAAATTGCGACCACATATGGACGTTACCAAACTCACAGGTTTACTTAATTCCCTTCCTGTCATCCCCACCTCCTCCAGTGCTGGGTGTTATGTTCAGCATCCTGGCTCGGCTCCCGCTCCAGCCGCCACATTTTACCCACCTGAATTCAGCTCGGTGAATGTTTCCTGCTTTCTGCCCTAGCTAGGCACTTTCAACAGTCACACAGCTCTGCTCAAGGTGGGAGAAGCAATCCTGCACCCCCTTGGTCTGGGGAGAAGGGGTGGAGGAAAGGATGCAGGTGCTGCACGGCTGCTCCTCACGCTATGCAGGACCAGATCAGCGCTACCCTCCAGTTCCTGCCTGCCTGCAGCCATCTGCTGCCTCCTATCCCATGCCCAGACTGAGCTCTTACCTTTTCACCCTGCAATTGCCCACTGCTTGGCCCAGAGAGATCCATCCCACTGCTGGGAGCCCTCACAACGATGGGAAACCCATCCACACCGTGATCATAAGCCCTTAAAAACCACCAAAAACTGCCAGTGTTGCAGTTTCTCCCCCACGTTGGTTATTCTATCACAGAGAAACGAGTCAGGACAGCAGGGAGAGGAAAGAAAAAAAAAAGGTACCTGGTAATCCTGGTCATCAATCCCAAACCTTTCCCGGAGGTTTCGGAACACCAGAGGACAATACTCCTTAAATTTAAAGCGACTGGGCAAGTTTTCCCTAAAGCAAAGCAGGAGAAATATTCTTGTCAATGATCAGCTGATGAAATCAAAGTCCTTCCCACACCTCACTGCTAACCATGCAGGATCCCCCAGCACAGCCCTCCAGGAATTCACCTTCTGCTTTGGGTGCCTACAACCCACAGAAGCACAGTTACAGGTAAGCTGTGAGGCACACACTTACTTGTTGAACAGATGATTGTCCACCTTGATCTTACTGTAGGCTTTAAAATCATCAGGCATCAACATGACAGGGACAGGAACGTTGCTGAGTTCGTTGATCTGCAAGAAAAAGGAAACTGAGATACAAAGGCCAAACAGCCCTGCATTTACCACCAGTTTACAGAGATTCTGAATGCCCCAGAATCTGTTCTGGAAGCAACACAACCCAGCAGGCCTTCAGAACACCTTGCTGTGCTGAAGGAACCTGGCGAATGCTGTGGTTTGAAGCCACAGAAGCAGCTCATTCAGCCCAGCACACAGCGGGACCCCCAGCTCTCCCATCTCATCACCCAGGACGCAGCCCAGAACGGACACAAAAGCTGCTATTGCTTCATCTGTAGGTTTGTCTAAAACAAACCCATGCTGCATCAGCCAAACTTCTCAGCAATGCCCATCTCAGCTGCCCAGCATCAGCCAGCACAGACGTGGGGGCACAGCACGGCTCCCCTGCAGACACTGCTCCTCTGTTTGCTGTCTCCTGCTGCTCTTATCCCACCTTCCCCAAAGGGATGAGTCACTCCATGAGATTGTTTTTGCTCCTCAGTCACGCGTGGCGGCTGCAGAAACACGGGAGAACGAATGTTGGTTCAGCTGCTGCTGTACAGATCAGCTCCCACTGCAGCAGTGGAAGCATCTGCAGAGAGGAACGCGTGCCTGGGCTGCCCTGGCCACACAGCACAGCCAGGAGGTACAGGGCAGCACGTGTCTGAAATTCCTTTTCTGAGGACAGCCTCAGCACCACTCATTCATAGGGATATCTGAGGGATCAGTGCCACCCGACCTGCATGCTGCGTTTACAAAGTGATTCTGTTACAACATTCACACCAAGCAGGTAACACTGGACGGATCACAGACTCACAGAATGGCCTGGGTTGCAAAGGACCACAATCATCATTTAGTTTCAACCCCCCCTGCTATGCACAGGGTCGCCAGCCACCAGACCAGGCTGCCCAGAGCCACATCCAGCCTGGGGATGCAGCCAACCACGCCAGCAGCTTGGCTTGGCTAGGAGCAAGGCTTGCATTGTGCCCCAGCACCCAAATCCAGGCAGCTCAGGGCACTCCCAGCACACCTGGGAAGCACAGGGCATTTTCCTGCCTCCAGGGGATGGGACCTGAGTGCTCAATCCCAGGAAATGGGCTCTGTTTGAGGGATCCTCCTCCTCTTGCACGCTTATGCACTCGAAGGTGCTGCCTCATTTCCAGCAGGGAGGTGCAAGAAGGCATGAGGAAACCACGCTGTGTGACACACTGCTCTGTGCAGGTGCTGGGGAGGCTGTGGCTCTGCAGATGCACGGTGAGCTGTCTGGTACGTGGCTGAGCCTTCCACAGGTGGGTGTTCTTCACATCCTGTCCCCATCGTTACCAATGGGAAAACAGAGCAGATTTCACAAACGTCAGACTGGGCAGAAAGGCACACACAGACACACGCTGCAAAGAGAAAAGATGACTATTTTCAGAGGCAGCCATCCCACACAACAGATAAAGCGGAAAGTAAAGCAGCCCCTGCTCTGCTGAGAGCAGAGCCCTGCCCAGCAGCAGCACCAAGGAGCATTAAGCACTGCCACAAAGTGCTCTGGGGTGCACGGAGAATGCCACACCACTGGATAATGCCACAGGCATTACAAAGAAATTGAACATAATGCCACAGGCCCCCCCTTGCTCGCAGTCAGAGTGGAGCAGGAAGGCTGGCATCTGGCTCTGCAACAGGCTCAGTGCTGCATGGAGCTGCAGTGGGAGCGATGGGGGCAGCCCCCAGCCCCACGCTGAGCTCCTCCTGCCAGGTGAAGGGAGAAAGAGAAAACAGCTCATTCTGCACCAAGCCACCCATTACTGCTGTCAGACAGCAGGGGAAGCCCGGCAGCACAGCTCTGCACGCTCTCAGCCCTCATCTCAGCAGTGGGAAGACACAAACAAGCTGTTATCAGCTCCTTCCAGCGTGGAGGAAGGGTGCTGAGACAGAGAGGGAACAGCAGCTTGGAGATTTTTCTCCTCCCTGCCAGAAATTCAGACGGAGACGGCAGCAAAGTGAGATGTCACGACGTCTCCTCGTGTCCTCGTTTCTGCCAAAGCAGAAACCTCAAAGCAAATGTTGTACCTGTTGCAAGCTTCCTGACAGGCAGAAATAGCACCAGCCTGCCTCGTCTCCTTGCTCTCATGCTTCCCAACGTACAACAGCCAAAGAAATCCCCCCTGCAGAAGCCTCTCCCCCTTCCAGCTGCAGACAGAGGAGCCTTCTGGATGCTTCGGGATTCCTGCGCTGGTGGAGATGGGGGGAAGGAAGGGATTGGTGCTGCAGATGCAAAGAGTTGCTTTCCCAAATGAGAGCACAGAACAGCAGTGCTCCATAGGGTTCCTCTCCTGGTGGAGCCTGAGCAGAGAGCAGAGCAACCAACGCCGGGCACATGTTGGTTCTCTCACCTTCTCCCCAGGCAGAGGCAGATTATAAATAGCAGAGTGTGTCTGTGTGTATTTATGCTACAGGAGGCAAGGTCGCAGCAAGGTGCCCTGCAGAGAGGTGCCCAGTATTGCCTGTGTCCCATAGAAGCTGCTCAGCTGGAGCACAATGCCCACACCTGGAGCTCTGCAGGTCCCCTCTGGAGCTGATGCAGCCCTCTGGATGGGCAGAGAGCTCAGGTCTGGTTCTTTGCTTGGAAGAGACAGCAGCAGCCGGACCCCCACCAGCATCACCTCACTGCAGGCTGCTGTGAGGAGCACAGAAACTACAAAGCAGCCTGGGGACACCAGGAGCCTTCCATTCCCCCAGCACAGACAGCCCTGAGCTGAAAGCACCGCTAAGGAACAAACTGTGCCACCACCACCTGCATTCTGCAGCAGCGCACAGGACATCTGTGCAAGGCAGTGCAAAAGCAGAAGCTGGACAGGCTCACATCGCACACAACTCACACACAGAGGCTCCCAGCAGAGCTCAGAGGACTTAAAACCACGACACATTTCAGAGAAACCGATGGGCATCCTCAGCTCTGGCCTGCACAGTGCTGGGTTGATCTGTCTATGATGCCCTGTGCCACCAAAGCCAATCCCTTCTTCAGTACCACACGCACTCAGGGATGCTGCTGCAGTGTGATTTTGTTTCAGAACCTGACTGTAGTCTCAAAGTAGCAACTGCCACCAGTAAATTGATGGGAAAACGCAGTTTGTTTACTAACGAGATCCAAACAGTGGAGCGTGAGAATCTGCTCTCCAGGATTCTTTACAGTAAAATTACTTTGCTCCTCTTGGTGCCATCCAGCTCTGCATCTCAGAGCGTTCTGAATGGTGGAAGTTCACAATGCCCCAGGGCAGCAGGTAACAGACATACAGCAAAAAAAATCACTTCAGCACAGAGCAAAGCCACACCTGCAGCAAAGCTTTGCAGCACAGGACAGCTGGGGGGAAAAAAGCCACTATTTTCCATGAACTAGGGCATGATTAATCAGTATGGGAGCTAACAGAACCGCCATGCAATGCTGGGCACGGGTGAATCTTGCAGCCAACAGCTTCTTTGGGTGCTCTAGGAACACCAGCGTGCAATAAGAGGAAAAAAGCAGCCCCGAGTGAGAGCAAACACCTCTTCAAAGTGTGTTAGAGCCTGCTGGGCAGCACAGTGTGGGTACAGGGGGCACAGCACATCCCCATCACAAGGAGCCTGGTGTTGGGCTTTAACAGAAGGTCCCAGGCTGTGGAAGCTCAGAGGCAGCAGGCTCCATCGTTAGCACCGGTGCTCATCACCATTACTGCCATATGCTGTGCTCTCCAGAGGTCAATTAGAGCCAGGGCAGACAGCGAGTGCAGGAAAGGCCAAACACAGACTGCATCCCCTGCGCCAGCACTGATTTATAGCACTTCAGCATTTGATATGTGGCAGATGCTGCTCTGGCTAGAGTTAACATGGCAACACCAAAAACAACGCTGAGGAGAAGGGAGAAGCGTGCTGCAAATCCCAATGCTGCTCTTTCCTTTGAATACTAACGAGCTTCACGTTGTGCTGCCTGGCACCAGGCAGGTCCTGCGAGAGCAGCAGGAGCTGCGGCAGCAACCAGAGCCCCCGGGGCAGACCCACAGTGCCAGCAGAGATCTGCCCTTCTCAGCAGAACTGGCTTTCTTTAAGGCCATCCCCAGCACATCCACAGAGCACAGCAGGACCAGCAGCCCCAGAGAAGCACCGTCACACCGCAGACAGCCGCCTGCTCATCGCACAGTGCCCTCTCCACCCCAGCACATCGCACAGTCAGCGCCTTACAACCGTTTCTATGGTTTCCCGAGCATCTCACAACAGCGCTGCCTTCATCTCGGTGCTTCCGAGATGGCTGCTCCCTCCCAGCACCACCCGACCTTCCCTCTGCCACCGGAGCTCCACGCGGAGCTGCGCTGCCTCTCCCAGCACCATGACAACAGCAGACAAGGCAAAGCTTCCCCAGGCGCCGTCTCCAGCTCGCCAGGTTCCACATCGCGGGCTCGGAGCTCAAAGAAAACATCGCAAACCAAAGGTGAACCCTCGTGACTCCGCTCCATCCCATCTGCACGAGTTCTCCCAGCTCCTCTCCCCCAAGCACGGCTTTCCGGCTCCAGGTTTGGCTGTGATACCACCCACGTCCCGCCGCGTTTCAGCGGCCGCAGCCGCACCCATGTGATGCTCTGAGCTCAAGCATTGGCTCTGGAGCGCTGGGACAGCAGAGAGCCAACTCACAATTCACACAGAAACGCTCCGAATGGGTGTTCCAACAGCAGTTCCTGTGCTCTGCACTAACATCACTGCTCTGATCCTCTCCAGACCATCGCTGCCTGTACTCGCACCAGCTGCTAGCAAGCTTGTTTAAACACAAGGCAGGGCTGTGCTGCTGCCAGACTCTGTTAATGGACCCGGGGGAATTTCTTCAGTCAGCAGAGATGGTGGATTGCATAAAATGGTTGTTTGTTTCATTTATCCACGAAAAAGTTCATCTCAGCCACCAGCATTTCTGATGGAATCGTGCTGTTAGCAGCGCGCTCCCCATGGCCTCGGCGTCTGCTTCTCTTTGGAAGGCTGTGCACCAGAAACCAAACGTGAAACAACCCCAGCAGATTCCTGACAAGGTTCAAAGGCACTCCTGAAAACACCCATCAGCTGCCCGGAGCAGTTTGCTCGAAGAACAAAAAGCAATCCCACCTTCCATAGGAGCAGGGCACCAGCAGCATCTCTTGGGAGCAGATCGGGATGAACAGCTGCTCGTGTGTTGAGCAAACACAAATAGTTTGGCTCACAGCCTGCCCTGCTCCAACCCTCGGCTGCTCACCACTGCAAACCGAGCTGCAGGAATGGGAGCTGGGGAATCCCTGCTGCCTGCACCGGGGGGGAGGAGGTCACAGCTGAGATGTTCTCCACCCTTTTCCAGCTCCTCCAGGATACGGTCCTCGTTTCTGGCAGCAGCTCCTTCACAACGTGCACCCGATACCATCTGCATGGACACAGCTACCAAGGAGAACTATCAGCTTGCAGAAATATTTCACAGCCAAACAGTCCTGAAGTTGCAGGCCCTGATCCAGAGCCTAAAAAAGACTTGAGGCTGCCCCACCAGCCACAGAAGAGGGCGAGCCGGCAGCCAGCAGCCCTAAGAGGCCACAAACGAAAGAGAAAAGCCCTACCAGCTTCAGTGCTTCTTCAGGGCTCCTAAGGGCATCGCTGATCAAAGCCTGGTTCAACTCATTGCCCGGCTTCTTGGGCGAGGAGCAGCAAGAATTGGGAAAATCCTTTGGCTGGGAGAGACAACAGTGCTGAACTACACAGGAAAGATTCACTCCGCCATCAGGAAAGCCAGGAATACAATCCTAGTTTTCCCAAAGCGTTGTTGATTCCTGCAAAAGCTGAACGCAGAGAAGGAAAGGGATCCAGGAAACACCCGCCAAGAAATGAGTGCCTTTGAGCCTGAAGGTTTGTTAATTGAGGAAGGGATGAGGTTGCTTAATTTTAACCACCTGAACATCACCCTTACCCACATCCAAGAGAACGCAGAGGAAGGGCAGCCCTTCCAGCCTATGCTATGGAGGAAAGAAAGGTTTCCAGAGGAAGAGAGAAGGGTGATTTTAGGAAGCTCCAATGGAGGTGGGCTGCAGTGCTGAGCCGTTCCCACAGAGCAGCTCCTCTCTCCATCCTGAGGATTTGGGGGGAAACAGACCAGCTCAGGAACACACAGATGTGGCACAGCCAGCAGAAAGATGGGAGTCAGAGCGACTCAAGGCTGGGCAAATTGGGCCCAATGATACAGGATGAAGCTGTGGGACACATCGCTCCCCCCGGGCCCACCCCCAGCCCTCTCACTAAGATCTGGCCCCAGGATTGAAGACCAGGGATTGGTGATAAGGGGTGCCCTGGGGGGCTGCTCCCAGCTATGCACGCCTGGACCACAGACAGCATCCTACGGGAAGGGCCGTTATCCCAAATGGCATCGGGGAAACGGGGGAGAGGAGTGCCGGGGGGCAGCGCTTGGGGGAAAGGCTGCAATGGGACGGGGGTAGAAAGGGGCAGCGGGGCCGAGGAGGATTCACCTCCGAGCCCCTGCGGCAGGCAGGGCGCTGGGGTGAAGGCTCTGCGCCGACGGGAGGGAAAGGGGGGGTGAGGTGGGGGTTCCGCCCGCTGCTCACCGTATGGTTGGCCCCCCACATGAGGACGCTGAGCAGCGGCTCCGAAGCCCGGAACAGCTTCACCTTCTGGCACACGAAGTGTTTCTTCTTGGTCTTGGTTTTGCTGGCGCTGAGTGCCGAGCCCAGAGCCGCTCCGCCGCTCCCCGCCGCCGATCCCCCCGCGCAATTCGAGGCCATGGCTGCCTCCGAACGGCCCCGCAAAGCCCCCCTCCCCCGGCGCTCCCCTACCAGCGCCTTCGCATGGCACCGCCCGGCCCGGCGCACGCCCCTCCGCTCTCAGCGGTTCCGGCCGCCTCCGTCACCCCTGGGGCCGGCTCGGCCGCTCCGCTCCCAGCTCGCTCTCCCCGCGGCGGTTGTTCCGTCCCCGCCTCCCTCCCCCCCTTTTCCCCGCCCCTGCGGTGGTTCGCTCCACCGCCGGCCGAGCGCTCAGGCGCCGCTCTAAGGAGGCGCCAAGATGGCGGAAGGCGGAGGAGGAGGGGACGGGGAGGTACCACGGCCGCGCCCCACGGGGGAGAGCCGGGGGATGCAGGGAGGGCAGCGAGGCGCCGAGCGTTGGTTCGCTCCGCCACAGCGCGCGGAGGGGAAGGAAAAAAACGGAACGCGGCCAAGGCTGCTTGCGGGACCGGCTGGAGCGGCGGGCGGAACGGGAGAGAAAGCGGAAACAAAGGCACCTCCCTCCCCCTCTGTGCGGAGATGGTTTCGCCCACCCCGTGTGACGTAGCAGCCCAGGCCACACCCCTTTCCGAGCGAGCCAATCAACGACGAGGCGCCTGGAATTATGAATGGACCGCTGAGCACGTCACTGTCGCCTCTTAAAGGGCCCGCAGCGCGCAGCTCCGCGCACAGAGCCGGCGGCCGCACGCAGCCCTCGGTCCGTCAGCCGCTGTGGCAGCGAATCCGACACCTTCGCCCCCACAAAGCCACCAAAAAACATTTGAAAATCGTAAAGTTTCTCCTTTTTTTTTTTAAAAAAAAAAAAAAAAAAAAAGGCAAAACAATCTTCACTGCTGTACATATACACATTACTTACATTACAAAATCCCAGAGAGATATTTGCTGCATCAGTTCTGCTCTGCTCATTTCCTTTCCCTGTGAAGCTGCTGCCCTCGAGCCAAACATCATTGAGATAGGTGAGAGGGATCAAATAATGGCTACAGAAGATATTTTACAGTCTGGTCTGACCTCTCCCTCCAAACCCACAGCAGAATGATGGCAGTCAAGCAGAATGGCATCAGTCCATCACACAGCTTTATCACATCCAGTCACCTCACGTGAATTTGTCCTGCTCTGATTTTTAAGGAACTAACAAAAATAGGTCTTTTGCTCTCACAAATAAAGAGCGCAGATAACCTGCCCAGTGTAGGAAGCAATTATCACCCAGCATCATCTAATAACAACAATATACAAAACCGGTACGAATCAGGGTGGAGAACAGGAAGAGATCTGGCAACGTGCTGCAGGATACAAGGGCTCACGAGCTCTCCAGCTGAGGTCTGCCTGAGGGATCATCCTCATCACAAACACATTGACAGTGCCAGAAGTTCAGACCACGCTGTGGGCTGCAGCACAGAAATTCAGCAGCTCTTTGGGAGATGGTTCCTGGAGAGAGAACTGAGCGTGTGCTGGAGGCCTCTCACCTTGGGGAACAAGGGTCCAATTTACTCCTGCACAGAAGCAGAGGAAGAACAAGCTTCATCTCTGCATAAAGTTCTTTTCCAAGGCAGCAGGAGTTCTCTGAAGGGAGTGGATGTTCCGCTTCACCCTATCTTCTAAAGTGGAAGTAGAAGCACTTTCCAGCTTAAAGTGACTGCAGGAAAAACAACAAAAGGAAAGAAATCAATCTCTTCCCAAACATCACATGGTTTCCAGCAGGGTTCGTTATCCCCGAGTCAATTAACTACGTGATTCTAAACTGGAAAGCAGCAAATGATTCCATATCAAAGTCTGCACCCAAAGAACTGACCAGCCTTTAGTTTGGCTTCTTACAGATCCAATGCTGTATTTCAGGTGGGTGCTCGGTATTCTCATCTCAAACCTCGATGCCATCACACACTCCTGAGAAGCTGCGCCCTGCACTTCCCACCAGTGAGAAAATGAACACCACCATGGCACTCACTGCAAGAACTTTCCATCCCCAGAGTCGAGTTTCTCCAGTTCTCTCTCCAGTTCCTCCTCCTTTCGGTGCTTCTTGAGGTTGTTCACCCTCTCCTCTTCCCTCCACTTGGCGTTTTCCATCATTTCCTGCCGTTTACGCTCCAGTTCCTCTGGAGAGATCTTTCTGTAGGTACAGAAAACAGCACTGCTGTAAACCAGCAGTGTGCTACATCCAACCCAGCTCTTCCTTTCCAATCTTCAAGACTATTTATCCCCAAAATTGGAGCTGTTTAATTTTCCTACAGCACCCAAAGTTTTTTTAGTACAAGTCTAAACAACCAAACAACTCCAGCAAGAGCTTGGTTTCCCCTTTTCAGCTTTTCTTTGTTAATTGATGATACTATCAAGACCAAAGTTTCCTGCTGGCCGTTAAACAGCAGGCTTTTAATTAACCCAGGAGACAAAGCCTGATTTCACCCCACCGTGAGGCACGCAGAGAATCACAACCATTCCACGAGGTTTGGGAGGCTGTTAGCTGACAACTGAGCTCAAGAGCTGAGATCAAACCAAGCACTTCAGAACAGTGCACTGCCCTTCTGGATGCCTGACAGTCCATTCCAGATAACAGAGCAAGATTTGGTGCACAGATGACAGCAGCTGTTTCACAACCATCAGGGCAGCTTTCGCCCCAAAACACGCAGAGATTTTGCTCACCTGGTGTAACCTGGAAGGTGCTGTCGCCGATAGCTCTTCTTGGGGGAAGGACTTCCAGCTCTCCCTTTCTCCTCTCGACTGCTATGTCTGCAACCCAAAACCACCCTTATTTTTAGGAGATATACACATATTATCACATCCCTAAACTTTACCTGGATTTTTTAGCAGGGATTTTGATCTGAACATCCCCCCTCCCTGCAGCTTGCAGTTCGTATTACCCAGCTGAACCACACTCACTGTTTACTGTGCCTGGAAGGAGATCTCGACCCCCTGCATCCAGATTGCTCTGCACTCTTCTTGTTCGTGCATCTCTGTGGGGAGTGGGATGTGCTCCTGGACCTGGAGCGCTCGCGGTGCCTGTGGGAGGCTCTGCCCTGCCCAGCAGCTGGAGAACTCCGAGATCTGTGGTTCCTGTCAGAGTCCCTAACCTGAAATCCAAAAGTGCCCCTCAGGAGAGACGTCCTGTGAGAGCATCACAACACAGCGAGGCTGCAGAAGCCTCAGGTTGGGCTGCAGGCAGTGAACATTTTGCTCTGCATTCACTTGTCTCACTTCCCAGGTTCCTATGAACACCTCTGTCTAAAAAGATCATTTTGGTGGTGCTCAGTAAAGCAACTGCTATGGCAATCACATGCAACATTGAAACAGGTGTGTGGCTCTGGGAAGGGAAACTAATTAAAACTGAACTGAACTCAGAGAGGACAGAAGTCCTACCAGGACCTGAAGAGTTTCAGGTCAGGGCTCAGAGGCACTGAGGTGAATGTGAGCACTGTTAAACCATGTTAAATCATGTATAATCATGTTAAATCATGTATCCCTCACAGCCCTCTTCTAACAGGAGAAGCAGCCTCTTGCAACAAGCTGATCTTTTGCTGTTCCCTAACCAACAAGTCTGCTACTGAAAGAGACATGCAAAACAGCCAGACTTACCTGTAAGCCATATCCTGGCACTTTAGAAGGAATGGGTTTCCAGGAGGAGCTGCTGGATTTCTTCTGAGACCTAAACAAAAAAGAGAACAGTGCTTTTGAAGCAGATGAACTTCAGTGCTCCTATGCTTTGCTTATTAAAACAACAAAAATCAATCACCGATGCAAAAAACAAAAGTACCAATACAGTAATATTTAGGCAAATTAAGAGCATTAATTAGAAAGATGAGATTCAGAGAAGATCAGAAACAGATGAAAAACAAACGAGACAGTAAAGACAATAAAACCTACCTGGCTTTGCTTCGCTCCTCATCACTGCTGGCACTTTCACTGCTGGAGCTGCGACGCCGGTGCTTCTTGTGCTTCTTCTTCTTCTCTTTCTTCTTCTTTTTCTCCTTTTTATCTAAACTGTTTTGCAGCTACAAAGAAAGACACCGATTGATTAGCAGTAATTACTGTCCCTGCGCTTGGGCATAAGGCAAAGTAATGGAGTTCTCCTGGACAAAAGAAAGCCCAGCAAGGTACGTGCACAGACCCACAGAGCGCGATGGAGTCACCCACCAACTCCTTGATTTTCTTCATTTTTACAGGATTATTCAGAACCTCTCTCTTCTTCTCCTCCTCTCTCTTTCTAAAGCAGATGGAAGAAGAGTATTAGTATTTTCAAGCAACTCTAAACATCATTTTCATGACAGATACAACACTAAAACAAGCTCTAACAGCCAACTTTTGTTCATTCAGCGTTAGTCCAACTACTGCAAATTCTGTCCTTTCCCCCCCCACTGAAGAGTGCAACGAAGAAATTAAGCCAAATTTTTGTTCTGTTAACATCTATTTTGCTCCAATGCTGCCAACCAGACGCATTCTCACACATACAAAAGGGTGACCTAAGTTTGTATATATGAGCCCATATATGAGTACATATATACATATATAACAAAGAAAAACAACCTTTGCATTTGCATGCACGCTTCCCACAAATAAAACAGCTCTCATCAAGCTGCCATCACTGCTGCATTGCCTGATTTATTCTGATTTATTCCAGTATTCAGCTTCACATTAAGTACCTGATCATGAAAAGTGGATCCTCCCGGATTTTGTTTGCCATGTCCAGGACAGAGTTGGCACCTGACTTGGCAAAAATGGAGCCTGGGAGCAGTCCTGTCTCATTGGAGCAGCCAGCATCCTTGTCCTCTGTCTTCTCAAAGACGTACTTGTCCACAGGGCGACCCATGAGATACTCCTCCCTGTTCACCATGCCCCCAGGACCCTGGTACATCCACTCCAACTTTTCTTCTCTTTTCCTATTGCAAAACAAGTCATCATATTTTCTGTCACAGAGGTATAAAGCTACAGTTTAAAGCTTATGAAGTAAGTGGAAAGCTTCTAGTGTGAAATTATCAGAAATTATAAATTCGGTGTACAAATTTCTGTTTCTCAGAGATACCAGAAGCACATGGACCCCCTTCAACACGTAGCACCGCTCCTCCCCCTACCCGGACCGGCAGCCCCACGCTCAGGCCCTGGCTCTGCTCACCGGACAGTGCCCATATCCTCAGCATATCGCTGCATCTCCTCTCGGGCCCTTTCCTCCTGCAGCTCCCGCTGCAGCTCCTCGATTTTCTTCCTCTCGGCCTCATATTTCTGCTCGGCCTTCCACACCTTCTCCACATTGCGCAGGGTCTGGGGGTGCCAGCTCTTCTTCAGGTTCTGCAAGGAACGCGGGACGCGGCACAGGGCCCCTTACCGAAGGCCCCGGGCGTTCTCTCACCGAGCAGGGCCGCAGCGCCAGGCCCGGCCCCGCCGCGAACAGCTCGAACGGACGGCCCCGGCCTCGGAGCCGTCACCGGGATCCCAGCGGCCTGGAGGAAGCTCCCGGTCCCCCCTCGCATCCCGGGCCCCATCTCACCAAGTCGCCTCCCCCCATGGCTGCTCGGCTTCTCCTCGGCTACTGGGCCCGCTGTGCGTCATCAACATGAGCCGCCGTCTCCTCTCAACGCGTCGCGTGTGATATACGTCACTTCCGGCGCGGCGCTTAACGGTCTTACCGAAGGGATAGGAGGAGGCGGGCGGCGCTTGGTGCTACGGCGTGCTGTAGCGATGACCGGAGCTGCAGGCCGCTGTTTGCCGTTGTCACCCCGTTCCCCAGGGCTTCGCACCGAACCGCGGCGTCGCCGAGCGAAAACTCGAGGACGCGAGCGGGGTTCCGCGCCGTTCAGTGCGGGCTTAGAACCGGGGACGTTTCGGCTCCCAGCCCGGCGCTTTGCCCCTGAGCTACGTGAGCCCGCGAAACGCGGCTTTGGGGCGGCTCAGTGGTGGGGGCGTGGCTCAAGGGCAGCGTCGCTGCCTGCGGCTGCTGGGGTGCCGGGTTCGATCCCCGCGGGGGCACAGACACCTGTCATACATGGAGTATGCAGCTTTCTAGAAATTACTTCAATTAGCAACAACTGCTCAGGCAGGAAAAACTAGACCTGCATCGCCTCTACTGCACTGTGCTATTTGCCTGTACGTGTGTTGCTCAGGAAAACCACGGGAAAACTGGAAAGCTTTTCTTCTTTTATGTTAGAAGTTTGGTACAAGTGATCTTGAAGACCTCTGAAGAATAAGGATCGTGTCTATGAAGGACTTGGGAAGAAAAAAGGTTGGAAAAGAAGGTAAAGAGGGGGCACCTGGAGTTGAACCAGGGACCTCTTGATCTGCAGTCAAATGCTCTACCACTGAGCTATACCCCCCTGGCTGAACAAACAGACAAGGAGCAATGAAAAACAAATAGACACAGCATAAGTGTGGTCATAATTCCTCAGATGAGTGCTCAGCATCTTGAACAGGGACGTTCAGGGACCAGGGCTGTGAGCAAAGCAGAAGCACACAGGACCTAAAAGCGAGGAGAATTACTCTTCATATTTACCCTGGGGAGGAACAATCGACCAAACAAAAAGCACCCAATCCAAAGGGGGCACCTGGAGTTGAACCAGGGACCTCTTGATCTGCAGTCAAATGCTCTACCACTGAGCTATACCCCCTTGCTTAAGAACTATAAAAGATACAGAGGAGAAAAGGAATCTATAGAGAGCTTAGTTTTGATGTCCACTGGTTAGATTCTTTTGCATGACACTGATTTGAGCATGCATGTTTAGATGAGTTCTCAGTGTTATGAAGATGGAAGTTGAGAGACCAGCCCTCAGAGCAACGCACAGGCAAACAGATCTAAGAAAAAGAAAAAAAAAGAGGAATGCTCTTCATATTTATCTTTGAATAAAAACACAATCTGAAGGGGGCACCTGGAGTTGAACCAGGGACCTCTTGATCTGCAGTCAAATGCTCTGCCACTGAGCTACACCCCCTTGGTTAAGAACTGAACAAGGAGCATTAAGAAACCAATTCACAGAGCCCAGACAACCAGAATCACAGACAGCCACATCGTACAGATATTACACAGGTTAGAACCTGTCCAGCTTCCACACTGATCCAACAACCACTGTAGCCTTTACACTGACACAGACGCTGATTTGGGCTGTATATCCTTAGATGGACGCTCAGAGTCACGAATATGGAATTGTGGAAAGCAGCACTGTGAAATGCATAAGCAGACAAAAGAAGGAATGCTCCTTGTGATTCTACTCTAGAAAAAAGTCCACCACATGAAGGGGGCACCTGGAGTTGAACCAGGGACCTCTTGATCTGCAGTCAAATGCTCTACCACTGAGCTATACCCCCTGCTGCTGCCTGTCTGCCCGGCCTCAATTTTCCCACTCATTCCAAACGGGAGTCAATTCAATTATGC